GAGCCATGGTGCTGATGTGAAAATACTTGGACTACTCCCACCAGGTTGAGGATTCATCTTTTCTTCAAGGGGAGGTTGGGTATATCTGTGTCTTGTTTACACTCTATGGTAAACTCTATGGTAGAACCGGAGATGGACAGATGGATTGGGACCTTAAAATGTGTGTGGTGCTCCATTCTGTGTGTGATGACAGAAGGACTGAGCCAGAAAGTAAAGCTCTCAACTTAATAGTCAGTCTACATTTCCAACTCTTAACTATAATGGAACTAATGAGTTCTGGATCGCAACCAAGGGAACTAGATAATGGATACAAGCAGCCGAGATGAGCTTCCTCTGTAAGTGCAGAAACAGCCGCTGCTCTCCACAGTGAAAGGACTCAGTTAAAGTGGTCTGGGCATCTGATTAGGTTACCTTATGGGGATCTCCCCAAAGAGTTTTGCAGGCCCCTACCAATATTCCTGGGTTTCCCCCCTGGACCTATAACCCAGACGCCGAAACCTCACATGGATATACTGGTAAATATTTCACAGATAAAGACCATGTGGCACAATTTCTGATTTTTTAACTGCATCAGAATGTTTTTGACACATGTTCTGAATAGTTCAGATTTTTTTAAGCTTATATATAAGAGATTGTATAGATTCAGATTTATGTTCAAGTGAAAACTATGTAGGTTTAAGTTTATTTGCAATCAAATCAATTCCTGTAAATCTAAATAGGTTGTATGAAATTGACTGCTTCCTGCTCACTGTATCAGCTCCTGGTTTTTACATTACCGCATATATGAGCTAACTATATGTTTCATATGCTGGTATATTTTTGAAAGTTCAGGAGGTATGAAGAGTTATAATGTAATGCTGATCTTTTTTCTCTTCAAAAATATTCTGTTCTGAAGAAGTCATCCAGCACAATGCCAATGAAAAATAACATCTTCATCCTTGATAAAAACTAATAATTCAGGTCATGTAAGCTTTTACCAAGAACTTTCACAATGACAAAACACAATCGTTTTGACAACTGTGTTGAGAAGCTATTGTGTTGGTGCTCTAAAAGTGTGAAATCCCCGTGGCCTTTCTGCCAGTGAGAATGTCTCACTTTAGTTTCTCAGCTAAAGTGAGACATTCTCATGAATGTCTCATGACATTCTCATGAGCACCAACTTACCATGTATGTAAAGCTATAAAAGGAGATTCTGCATCCAAAAACTATTCTTGAAATCAGATCAAAGCTAACAGATTAAACTCAAGGCACCTTACCAAAACCTTCTGCGCTTATGCAGGAATTAATCATCACACATTCCCTATTCCTGTCACAATCATGTTTACACCCGAACATATTCAGATGAATGTAGGATAAACTTTTCTATGTTTTTGAAGCATCATGTCAAAGTTCAACTAAAATATTTAATATATTGTAGTTTTGCAACAACATACACTGCAAAAACACAATATCTTACCAAATAATTTTGGCTCAGTTTCTTGTTCAAATACAAGACAAAACTAACTTATGAGTAACTTTTCAGCAAGATATTTGTTTTAAGTACATAATTTCTTCATTTTTATGTTCCATTTGGTAGATTATTTCACTTATGGAAAAAGTGTCTTGTAATTGAAATAATCTACCAATAGAACTCATACTTTTTCATCAATATTAAGGAATTGACTCAAAACAAGCTCCTACATCTTGACGAAAAGTTATTTGTAAGTTAGTTTTGTCTTACTTTAACTATACTAAGATATTTGCTGCATCACAAATAGATGGTATTACAAAGTCTGGACACAATGAGCCTAAGCATAAAGTCAAATTAGCAACAAATCACCAACTTTTTGAAAATTAAGAAAAAAAGCAACAAAAAAACATGATCCTAACCTACTTTTAGGTAGTCTAAAATATCACAGGTTGAGAAATAACCTGTGAAATATCTAGTTTCAACAGTATTTATGCAAGATGTTGTCTCCAAACATTTTAACATAAATTACATTTAAATATGTTTAGTAACTAGAAGGTTTATATTTTGAGTTCCAACTTGCTTCAGGTGCCACGCTGCAGATCAGTTTCCTTCAATGTCATAATCTGATTTGTTGGCAGTTTTAACTGTAGCTGATGCAGTTTGCAGGTGGTTAGAGATGTAAAAACATTTTTATGTGCAGATTGCTTTTGATCCTTCTTTGGATCGCATTATGTAAAAACCCAGAGGCCACTCTGCTGTGTAGACTTGATACATCAGGAACATTTACCCTTATCGTTTAAACCCAGCAGCTGAGTGTTGTGCTGTTGCTTTGTACACTGTATGCATCCTCCTCCAGCCTGGTTATTGTAAAATCTGTTACAAATAATTCCAGATATATAAAATACACAGTCCATTTGTAGAGCTGTGATTTCTGCTCGTACAAAAACTTCTCCGAAATGTTCTTATTTGAATGTGCTGGATAAAAGCAGCTCCTTCAAATGCTCATGATAGAAGATCCATTCAAATGATTGTGTTACTATATTTTAAAAGAATCACATCATGCTGTTAGTATAATAATGAAGAAATGTGCCCCAAAGCAGTGAAGTGGTGCTTTAAAAGGCATAATCAGCGGTGCTAGAACAAAATATTGCACCTCCTGCTGTAACTGGTTGCCGTATAATGAAATCTCATTGCAGGGTTGGCCGTAATAATCCGAGTTAGGAACAAGAGAGATGATTTACATGAGAAATTTCCTTTCTCCTCTGTGCTTTATGGCCGTGCCGCATCAGCTGAATTGTCAGCAGAGTATCTCACACGGGGGAAAGCTATCAATACAGAGAAGAGAATAAAAGCTGAGCGGAGATATGGCTCGTCTCTCTCTTCAGAGGTAAAGGGGGATAATTTCATGAATGAAAAATTAAGTCAATAAATTTACAACAAAATGCCCCCAAAGCAGAGAGTGGATTCATGTGTGACAGAGTGAAAGCTTGCTGATGCCACTTTTCACTTAAAAACCAGAAGGCTTTGGAATCAGTTTCTGTTGTTTTTTTTTATCTTTCTGGCCTCTCAGCCTGCCAGGGTTGTGCCGCTCTCCGGGGAGCTGTGGTTTCTGAAAGGTTCCTCCTCGTACTTAATCCCTCCATCTCTTTGTGTCCAGGCAAAAAATATATCCGCATGAAACTCAAGAGGATGCCGAAAAGGAGGCCTGGTCGAGTGAGGGGGGTAAAAAAAAAAAAGAGCTGCTTTCAAACATTTCGCTATGGTATTGAAAAAATGGAGATAAGACTAATGGAGGTTCTGCAAAATGAGAAAAGGCTGAATTTTGCTTTTTAGATTAACTCCAATTATCCCACTTGAGAGAAGGAAGATGGCTTAATCTCAGGATTCTGTAACAATTATGATCGTCGAAGTTGTCCAATATCCAATATTTTATTTTATTTTATTTTTTCTTTAAACAAAGCTGGATAGTGTAGAACAATTCATTCAACACATTTATGGACCAAATGAAGTTTAATATGGAGGCTGGAGACAACAAGACATACTCTTAGGTATGAACATTTATCACATTATTTGTTATACAAATATTTGTAATTATGGTGACAGTAATAAGTTCCAATAAATTATGTTTGAAAACGCCCAACCTGGCTGTATTATCTCAGTTATTTTTGCTACACTCTTAAAATAGATGTCAACATGAATCGAGTCAAAATCCAACAATGATGTCTATTTACAAGGATGACCCATTTTGTTTAACATTTACTGTGCTAATAATTCAACACAACTGATGTTACAATTATTTAACATAGTTTTCATTTACACAGTTGCTAAATAATTTGAACACAATTTAAATCTTTAAATATATTTCTCTACGAGCTGTTTAAACACTAAAGCCTTGGTTTCCCAAAGCTCAAAACATCTCAACATGACAAAAGGTTCACTGTACTATAACGCAGTCACCAGACCTCTGAGATGGAGCATAAACTCTGCAAAAGTAAGAGTTTTCCATTGTCCTGTTTGCTTTTTCCATAGTTTCCTACACCTGGAAAATAAAGAAAATGTATTTATCACTTTATTTTTGCACAGATTTGTGAGCTCAGTGGGGCTTTCCACTCCAACATAAAGTAAGAGCATCAATTCAAAGCCATCCTGGGCTGTGGTGTAGAAGAACTGGTCTAGAACCCAGGTGTACCTCTTAATAGAAAAAAGAAAGACCAGCCGTTTCATACATCATGTTCATCATCATCATGTCTTTATTTGAGTGTAAACAAACTCTGAAAAGAGCATCAGCCAGCTTCTTGATTATTGGATTTAACATGATTAATCTAGTTTGCAGTCACTGATAATAAAACATGATCACTCCAGTGCAAAAAGGATCACTTTCACCTCATTTTGCCCTTATAAATAAATGCTGTGGTCATAGGAGGAGACAGTTAGATTATTGTACTGGAAATAAATACAAAGGAGGGAGGCTGTGAAAAAAACCTCGCTCTGTCAGAAGTCACCCATAATAAGACTGTAAAAACTGTAACTGAAATGTAAAAGTGATCCCATTTTGCAGCGTGCATAATAAATAATGACACTTTCAGAAGAACTGTCTGAAACCTCAGTTCAGTGCAACAGCTTAACCGAATCTCCTCTCTTCATCTTGTACTTGGTTTAAACATCTGCATGTGAGAATGTTGACGGTTGTGAGTTTTGTCGACGTGCGTTTGGACACGACCAGGCGTCCGGAGGCTCATTGGGTTAGTAACAAAATCAGCACATTAAATACGTAACAGAAGAAGAGCTGCAAAAATAACTCTCTTAAAAACAAATAAACTTACAATCACAGCAGTTAGTGTTGAGCTCAAAGAAACAATTCATTTAGTCACTTCTGTTTTTCATTAACATAAATATTTACAATCCAGCAGAAAAAAAAACATAATACTTTACATAAACGAGAACAACACAAACATAACTGCAGTCAGAACCACAAACAGGACGAGTGAGAATGTATGTAGTGTGTAGCTGTTCTTATATTCATCATTCTGTAGCTAACGAGAGCTCAGCCTCCATCTTCAAAAAAACTAACCATTAAAGTAGAAGAAAATTCAGGGCAGTGAACTGCAACAAAAAAAAAAAAGTAAAAGGAAAAAAACAATAAACTTTCCATTTAACCAGATTTTGTTGCCTTTAGTGAAAAAGAACTAAAAGTACAAACATAATCCTGTATGATGGAATGTTTTAGGGAATGGGAATGTCTTCATTCATAGGTTTATATGATGCACTGAAAGATAGAAAGAAAAAGGAAAAAAGATGAAATGTATAAGATAAATCTTGTGGCTTTGCTCTCATCAAACAACAAGAAAACCTTTCAACTACTACTTCTTCTATTGGCGAGATAAGGACAAAAGTGAGGAGAAAATCTGCTTTTAGGTCCATCTTTGAAGAGGGAGGCTGGGCTGCCTTCGATGCAGCCAGGCAGCTCTAAAAAGGAGCATCTCCCCTTTGTTGTGATTCATTGACGTGGCTGCATGTCTGTGTGCTGAATCCTTCTATCACACCTCCTCTTAAGGCTTTCAAGCTGATTTGGATCAAAGTCAGTCTCAGGGGAATAATTTGACATAAACATCAAGTTAAGGAGGGGGAAAATCATCGCCTACGACCGAACTCCACTAAATTGTAATTTTTCAGAGAAGTTTCTATAACTTCTTGATCTTTTGATTGACAAAGGGAGGCTTAAGCCGGCATTAATAGCTTCATCTGACAGATGTTTTGCAGTTTGAACATCTTAAAGGCTGAATGGTTTTACATTGAGTCTGGACTGATGGGGAATAACCTCAAAACAAAAACAGGAGTGCCACAGACTGAAGCCGAAAGTTATCAACAACGCGGGAATAAGGAGGAAAACAAGAGTTAAAATGTTAAAATGATCCCAGATGATTGGATTAGGACATCATTACACTAGGCTGGAAGCCACTTAGATACGATAAAGCAGCCGCAGCAGCCACCATTCCAGTTCTGGAAACATGTCTGACTAGAAGGGAAGGGACAGGAGGAGCAGGACATCTTCTTCATGTGGGGTTGGATTAAATATATATATTCTGTTTTGTTTCGAAGCCGTCTTTCCCCCATCCTGTCGGGTCGGGAGGTGGCAGACGACGGGCCTCTATGTGAAGTTCTGAAGCGGCTGGCTGACCCTCATGCACACCCAGTAAAAGGCCCGAGCCAAGGTGACCAGAACCAGGAGCAGCATGACGGCCCACGAGGCGTAGATCCCCGGGTAGGTCTGCGCCTTCACCCACGTTCCAGCCTGAAGCGAGACGGGACAGAACAGAGCCGGCCCTTTAAGTGACGCTACGGCAACAACCGGCTGGCTCCAGTCCGCACACGGAAAATCCAAGTAACCGAGCGGCGTAAAGACATAATCATATTTGCAGAGGTTTTTTTCTGCAATGCCCGATTATGTTGCTGTAATCTTCACTGAATTCCAGTTAAGCATCAGCAAACTTTCACTGCTGATTAACATATTAACATTTTTGTGGATTAGCTAATAAATCACTCTCAGTAAACTCCAGGAAAAAAATTAAACAGCCACGTATTAAATATTTTATTTTATTCAAGAATGAGTGTAAAACCTCTTCTGTAATGTAAAAGGAACTATAAAACAAATCTACGAGCTAGAGCCGATATTCACACCCAGTAAAAGCTTTGTCACATTACAGCCACCAGCTTTTATTTGGAAGAAGTGATTAACTGTGGAAGGACTGAAAAGTGTGGTGGACTCATAGAAACATTTTTCACTGCAGAAACAGGCTTCAAATGACAAACTCTAGAAGAAAACTGCTTTTGCTGTAAAAAGGAAAACAGATGAAGACTGATTTAAATATTCAGGATTTATATGTTTTAGAAACAATTCATCAGAAATTTATCTCAGAAAATTCTATAGAAAATATAAAACTGTAGATAAAGACTGGATGGATGGATGAATGAGAGAATGATGAACAGNAGGATGGAAGGACNAGAGNAAAGATGGATGAAAGGAAGAAATGAGAAAAAGGTTGAATGGACAGATGGACAAGAAACTATGGATGGATGATAGTTGGACAAATGAACTGATAAAAGGAGAGATGGAAGAGAGGATGGATGGCTGGATGGATGGAGTGTAGGAAACCCTTCAGAAGTTTTCAAACCTCCAGATCAAAGTTATTTTATTATTACTATTTTATTTTATTTCTTCCAGCTGTCAAACCTGCAGCTGTTGGACTGAAACCCATTTCTTTCAGAACCGGGTCTAAACCTGGAGCTCATGTTTTCAGTCGGCCATGACACCAATCCCTGAGACAGACACTAAAACACGAATTAGGTCAGAAAACATCCTCCTCTGACCTATGTATCAGTTTTCTGCTCTTATCTCAATTCTGACAATTCTTATTGTTTTAATGATTTAGGTTTCTTCCTGGGTCCGATCTCTCATCTTGTGTTGCCGATGGAGCGCATGTTCAACATGTTCAACATGTTAAAGCTGTTGGAGATAATCTGTAGATCCCTGCATTTAAAATGTGTGGGTTTTTTTTTTAAATTAAATCCTGAAAGCCTTTTGATCGCCTCCTTCCTTTAGGTACATGCTGTTAGAAGTTTGATGAAGAGCACTCGTATGAAGACTTGGCGCTTATCAGCTCTTGTATCGTTCTTGTAATTAAAACAGCCTTTTTCATAAAACTAAATTAAATGGTGAGACATTTACTGGCTTCTTCACAGCTCTAAGCAGATCTACATGTGTTGTGCTCATCTTGCACCCTCTGGTGGTCATGGAGTAGATTGCAGCTTCTATCTAGTTTTTGCTGACTTTTTAAAGGGGCAAAAGCTAAAAGAAAGTTTAGCTTTCTTTTAGCTTTCCATCATGTTATAATGTTATTCCCTCTTCAAAAGCATACCTACAGTGTTGCTTTGATTCTTTCATACATGTTTGAGAAATTCTTTCATCTCCATGGCCATCTCCATGGCAACCATCCAGCTGTTCAAAACGCACTGCCTTCGAGGATACAGCTTCTCCTCAGAGTGGTAATTTACAAGCCTCAAAGAGCGGTTCTCCCCTGTTACTCCTGCACTCAGCTCCTTCAGACTAGCCATCAGCAATTAGCAAACACCTAGTGGAACTGAGTTCGTTGTAGAAGGAACCGAAGTTTTTAAAGAGACAGAGGCCCAATTTCAAGGCATTAAATTAGGAAATCACATTTCTTTTATGTTATAAAAATGGTATACATATAAAACATAACTGAAATTAAAAATTTCTTGATTGCGCTATAAATTGACACAATGTGCATAATACTGCCCCTTTAATTGAGAGGATAAATAAATAAAAAACAAAAAGATTGTTGGTACTCCGACCATTAAATTTTCATTTACTATGAAATCCTTACTGGGTTCACTCACCATTAGTCCAGCAGTGGAAATGCTGAACAGCAAGCAGAGTAGAAAGCACCACAGACTTCGCCTCCGGGGATACCTCTGTCCAATGGAGGACCTGCAGAGGAGGAGAGGAAACGTTTGATTTTTTTTTTTTTATTTCTCCAAACAAAACCCACCATGGCATCCAATGTTTTAACAGCAACCATTTTAATGACCAGGAAAGGCGCAGATGTTCACAATGCTCAGCGCATCTGTTGTCATTAACAATGGCTTTGTTAGAGCTGGCATGTGCAGCGCTAGATCTGCAGAAAAGATCTCTTATTACTCGCAGCACTCAATACGGCCTGGCTTCGTGTTCAAAATGTTAGCAACAGCAACAGCTTCTTTTTTTTTCCTGCAATCCCAGTAAACTAGGAAATGAAGCAACATCTCCAGAAACCCTTCCATTTATGTTCTTACCTGACAAAGTCTCCTAAATTAAAGCTAATTATAGCTGCTGTGATAAAATTAAATTAAAAAAAAGTCTCCAACTTCTGATTTAGTCTTTTTAGTCTAATTGCAGGAAAAACGACTGCATCACGAAGTGGAAGAAAAAGCACTTTGTTCCTTCTTCCCTGACTTTTTTTTTCCTGACAGTTTGAGCTGTTGAGGCATAAACCTTACAAATGAAAAACAAAGACCTTCATCAATCAGTTACCAACTTGCTCACCCAGCTGCAGACAGATCAGCTTTGCACGAAGGAGTCCTGTCATGGACCATTCTTTTTCAAACTCCACCATAAATTTTCAGTCGGACTGTTTGCTGGTTATGTCACTGAGCTGATGTGCGTGTCGAAGAGGGAGGAAAAAAAAGTTTTCACTCACTTTGTTCTGCGGAAAGATGTTTTACAACCGTCATCAAACCCACTTAGACAAGAAAATAACCTGAAGCTACTTCATCCACCTGCAAACTGTGCTCGTCTTCTTTATATATTTCACTGGACTTACTCTTAAGAACAATTCCAGCATCTTCGTCTTCATCCATAATGCAGCTATGACTCATCGCTAAACATCACTCTCATCTCATTGTTTATTTCTCTTAAGGGGCTTGAGCTGTTTTAGGTGAACATAAATCATATTTATTTACCTGAATGCATCAGAGGTGCACTGATAAATCAGCCCCATTTATCTAATTTTGGGTGATCTGTGATCAGCTGATAATCACATGTGAAATCGATCGAATACACAGATCTCATCTACCTTTGATGAGGTCTGAAAATCAACTACTGTTCAATTTTGCTCAGTATTGAAAGAGAGGTGACAACAGTAACTCCTCTGCTTCTAAATCAGCTAATTTCTCTGTATATTTAGCAACTTTTCCAAAGGAAAAATAAAATAATGGATATCGGCCAAAATAAGAATCAGCAGCTTTTTAAAGATCTGTGATCAGTTAGAAAACTGCAATCTCTGCAGCCCTAGTATAAAAAGTTTTTGGTTTAACTGTACATAGACAAATTAAAATTAAATAACTTAAATTTCCAAAGTTTGCAATACTTTTTTTCTTTTTTGCTCGTTTTACACAAACACAAAATTGGAAGAAATTTCAAATTCATGTGCTGCAGAGGTCAATATTTTAATACAGAATGTCTAAATCTATGACTTGACTGAGTGGAGGGATAAATAGACAACTGGGCACATGGATAAATACAATATATACATAATGGGACAGAGCATAAAGTCTGAATATTTTTTATATTCAGTTATTTTCCATCTTAATCAAATTTCTACCTCGGAGCCCTGGCTATTAAAGGGTGTGATTTAAACCACCTCATAGCTGCTTTTCTTTTTCCACAAGAACATTGTGAAAAACACTAAGAAGCTTATTTAAACATTACAGAAACATGGACTGCAGCAGTGTTCAAACTAAATCCTTAAGGGCAGGACGTATTCAAAATGAAACTGAGGAGGAATAAATAAGCTCAGGCTTTTTATCCAATGGGAAGGTTCGGTCTTTTCTGTTAGGATGGCTCTGCAGGTTAACGCTTCAGCTAGAGGCCAAAGATGGTAAAGACAATGACCACAGAAAAAGTCAGCTGCTGTATGAGGAAAAAAAAAAAAGTGCATAAAGTTACTTACACTTTTTTGCAGTGCGGGCACCTGGCCAGCGTCCGGTCCGTGAACTCTGTCCACTGAAATCACAAAAGTTAAACGCCCTGAGCATCAAATGGAGCCAAAAAGCAAGCTGCATGTTTGCCAAGGTTTCAGCTACAGTGATAAAAACTTATCAAGTGTGCCCACTGTGTTCACTGTGAATCGCTTTTTATTTCCAGCTAACAGGCGTTGCAGTTCTTTGCTTCATCAGGCACCTTGTACTTAAAACTCTATTCTCATTTCCATAATAAATATACATGAGGAGTGAAAATATATCCCAGACAGACCAACACAACACATCATCACTGCTTGGGTGAAAACTGATTAGCTTACAAACCCACCCAGGGCACAGATTTGTATTTTCATTCAGCCGTCTCATCTTCAAGCGGTTGCGTAACGTTCATCTAAACTTTAAAATCCCCCTTCTGCATCAGTCAGACAATATTTATTTAACACAATTCTCCGTTTTCCTCCTTCTTGAGCTAAACCTATACTCTCTCTTCCATCATATATTTCATAACTATCTTTACTTGTCTTGTAGATTGTTTAAAAAAAAAAAAGTAGCGAGGAAAAATGTTTCTTTCCCTTCAACACAAATGACCACAATACATCAGCAGTGTGTTGTTATGGCTATTGATCTGCAGCGATAACTCAACATACTCTTGGCTCGCAGGAAGGATGTCCTGTCTTTTTAATAATTTACTTGCACCAGCATATTTCACAACAAATATATTGTGGACCTGCAGAAATTCTCCCAGAATGCTTCAGTTGGAGGGAAGAAAAATCACCCGAGGATCAAAAAGCCAAAAGCCAAAGTGCTTTTATTCTTCTGCTGGTCAGCAAAGCAGTGGAGCTGCTCTTCAAAACAGTCTAACTAAAGCTTTGCATACCTGCATGTTAGTTACTTTCTTCTAAATGTTTTACTTGACAGCTGTGCTGATGGGTCCCAACATCAGGCCCCCTTTCACACTGCTACTGCCATGCTTTTCTAGCATTATGGAAAAGAATGGCAGTAGCAGTGGTAGTTTGTTAATGACCTTTGGCCTTGTTAAAGCTGCACAAGATAAGGTTCACATTAGATAAATCGATTATTGAGATAATCGTCAACTAATTTGGCAATAGATTAATCGTTAACTACAGAATGCATTGTAAAATTGGTAATTTTGCCAAAAGTACAACACACCCAGAGCAGTAACTAAGCCAAAACTGCATAAGAATACATTCATTTTGGATTTAAGATTAAAAATCAGAAACCTGTGCCTGTAAATATGTTCTATCCGAAACTCAAGTGACAATGTTTTAGCTCCTACTAAGCATCTTTTGCAATCTAATTATTAATGGGTTGATCCAAATATTAATCAACAGATCAGCCCTACATTGTATTGATGTAAAGTCGAGCAGAAAGGGCCGAGCTTTTCACCTGCTGATGTTGGAAATAACTTTATTGTTATTGAGACAACGATAAAACAAATTACTTATCATAATGAAATGCCCACCTCTAAGAAGTGCAGATACAAACACGTCTCCAAATTACACTTACATTGATGAGCTGGGCTTCCAGCTGAGGAGGAGCATACACACACCTCCAGATTGCACAGAGAATGGCTGATTGAAGGAAGTTGTGAGACTTTTAGGTTGCTTTTTAGAGCCAGAGATAAAGAGAAGTAAAAATAAAAAAAAATCTGCTCAGAGCTAACAAAGAAGAAAGATTTATCACAACCCAGCAACGTTCAAACAATATGAACGATCCTGGATACCGATAGTGGGCTTAATCTAGACTGAAAGAAGTTAAAATAAACAGTATTTTCAGCTTTTATTTGAAAATGTAATTTTTCAAATAAAAAATTCAAACCAATTTCACCAAAAAGAGACCATGCTGCAAGCTGAATTCTGACATTTGTTTCCTCTTTATTATTTCGATGTGTTGTTAAGAAGAAAGCCGTTACCAAGAAGGTGTTGCTGCAGTGTCCACAGGAGACCCGGGCTCCAGCAGGCTGAGGGTCAGGACTGGCCGGCCCGGGATGAACAGGACCCAGATTTATTATCCTCTTACTGGAAAGAGACAGGCAGGCACACAAAGTCAGCATTCCCACCACGAGTGAATTATCACAATCATGATAAAATTTGGTGTGAGAGCAAACTGCGTTGTCATAAAGCCTGATGTTTTGAGCTGCTATCTCAAGGGCGTGCTGCGGCGCGGCTTTATGAAATCCATCAACAGCCCGTCCTCTCATTACTACACACAAAACCTCCATAAAAATCTGCTTCCCCTGACACAGACAGCGGCTCGGAATCACTGATCAGACAGGGGAACGGAGAGGTGTTGGTTGAATCAGAGTGTCTGGCTTGAATGCAAAACAGTGACACTGGAGGTAAACATTTAAGAGTATTTAATGAGGGAAAGTTGTCTATGAGGAATGCACACAATAAGCAAAAACAGCTTGCAGAGCTCAGTAAGCAATTACACTCCATTAGGCTGATGTTCGTGAAAACAAGAATATTATGTAAATATTTCCACTTAAGTTTAGAATATCTGACAATTTACCGTTTTACCAGAACAAGATTTCAGCAAGACGTTAAAGAGTAATGCTATTAAATACAGCTTTATATTTAATTCAACAGAGGTTCTAGCTGTAAGCGCAACTATGAACTGCATTTATAGATTTATTATTTTATAAATTCCTGATTTCAGATCTTTTTTTTTAGCTTAGTTTAAAATAATTAGATGTGCACAAATCAAGCCGTTTCCCTGCAGAATTAGATATCAGTTTTATTTTAGGTCTAACTTGCTTATCCCAGTTTATATTCTCATGACTAACTCACAAATCCGTCTGTGTAAACTTCATTATAATTCAATGATTGAAACATGTCGATCATATTTTAAAACAAAAAAAGCATGTTCTGCTGTTTTCTTGATAAAGGCGATGATTCTAAATTCAAACAAATAAAAATTATCTCCACTGATGCATTAAAGTGTAAATTCCCATCTCTACTTCATTATTTACTAAACTCAAAGTATCTGCTGTTAATGTGTTAAAAGACCGAAACAAGTGGGAGTTTTAAATCTTAAGGCATTTAATGAACAGAGACTAAAACACGGAATAATAAATCAATGTTTATTGCTGGTAGAAGGAAAATTAGCACCAGTCGTCTGATTTGTGCATATCTAAAAATTTCTGATGCCCTGATCGCAAATATTGAAGATTAGGGCTTTGCCACCAAGTTCCAGTCAGACACAACATTAAAGTTGACACACACACAGCTGCAGTCTTCAACAAAATCTCATCTTTCTCCTGCTGGCAATGTGGAGAAATGTATTGACTTGTTGGTCCAAGATCATCTTAAAAACATCTGTTGCCAACAAAGAAATGAAACATGAGGTTAAATCAGGAATGTAATACGCAGATGTAGAAAAATAAGCTTTTTTTGTTCTTTAACAGAAATCACAGAAACAGTCAGGGATGTCCCAGAAGGTAAATTGTCTCATTCATTGCAAATAATTTCCCAAACTAAAATAAAATGTCTACTGGGCTTAAAATAAAGTTGCTTTTTATGTTTTTTATCCCTGATCACTGGTGCATTTGCTGCGCTTGTTGCTAAAGAGAGGACAACTGTGTCTTGATTCAAATAGCTCCGATGCTCTGGAATTGATCTTATGTCTGCATGTATTTAGTGCAGCCTGCTTTATGATCCACAGCACATAAAAGGCAAACAGCATCTACTGATAAAATGGAGAAGATTGAACTGCAACATCAATTCCTAAATCCTACCAGCTCTGTGAAGTAAACCAGGCATCAAAATCATAAAGTTCGGATGAGTTGCTAAAACAATACATTTATTAGGACGGACAGCTCTGTGTTTTGGGATAGACTGCATGTATTTTTCTCTAAAGAGGCTTGGAAACTCATTTGCACCTTGGAGACTGTAGACAGAAAACTTTTTGAATTTCATTATTCATCCAAACTCCATTGCTCTAAAAAGTGTCCTGAGTATAAACAGATATATGGATGACAAAATTAGCGTGCAGCTGGAGGTTCCAGGGAAGAAAAAAAAAGAACAACTTTTATAGTCTGAGCTAAAGTAACTTTCCATATTTCACAATACTTGCCAAATATAAGTTAAAAATTCATGCCACGGCTGTTCTAATGAGGTTTCCTCATGTTAACTGTGCTGGCAGTAAGGCCTTAATTGAAGGCCCGCTGTTCTCACTGCACCTTGCTTCCTCTGCTTTTCTTTCCTTCTAGCAGGACAAAGTGTTTTATAGGAGTTCTGCAGGGCTGTGCATTTGCGATCACAAAAACAAACACACACAGTTTCTCACCAATATGGTCGGGGACAGGCAATCCTCTGAGAAGTGACTTTGCAGATGAGAAGACAGTTGCAGGGGCAGCGAACGTACTTCTTTCCTGCTGGGGCATTCTTAATGGGCTGCAGAGGGAGACAGAAACGCTCAGGAGATCAGAAGGCAGCAGAACCTCAGAGCCGAAGAGGAGAAGATAACGAGCCAATTATATGTGATGGGCGAGGCTGAATAAATAGTACAGGAAGGAGAAAATTGTTTTCTAGCAGAAACTGTACACAAACTGCAAGTTAAGGTGGTGATTTATAACTGGTGAGAGTTCAAATATAACAATAAGTCAAAGAGCCAATTAAGCAGCGTGTGGAATGGTATAAGAACACCAAAACCTTTGCATTTGATTTGTGAAATAAGATGTATATCTTTTTTTAAAAAAAGCATAAATAATAAACAACTGGAGTGCTATTTAGCCCCAATAATGTTTGAGTGTTTTAGTAAAGGTGTGCATAAACTTTATTGTTGCACACAGTATATTTTCTTCAAGGCATCAACTGATTGTTTCACTACATGAACCTTCATATAAAGTTTTAATCAGCCCTTTGCAACAACAATATATGTCTTTAAAACAAAAATGTGTACAAGGGATGCACCGATCCACTGTTTTTACTCCTGTTATTGATTTTTTTTAAACAAACACATAAATGTACTAAACTAAAACTTATTTGATAACTCTGTACCAATAAAGCACACTTAAATACACTAACAGTTTCACAAACGTGGTTAATCATGTAAAAAAAAAACATAACTTTAGTCTGTTCAATCAGTGCAATCAAGAGAACAACAGCCAATGTAAAATAAATAATAAAGAAACTGAAACTGACAAAACGATAGATCTACCATCTTGGCCAAACGCAAAGGGAAACTGCAACCATACTTATTTTGAATGGTTCAGAAAGTGCAATTAAGAAATCTAAATATGATGTTAAATAAATAAACAAAACATGACGTCACTCAGAGCACAAAACAGAGAATTAAACTGACTAGATCTGCCCTTTTGGATATGGCACATTGTCACCAATACCTGATCTAGAGTTTTTTTTTCAATATTGGGACCAATACAGATATTAATATCAGATCCGTGCATCTCTAGTTTGTACTTTTACATGTCATTACTTCTGTTGCATTTCTCTGACTGGTTTCATTTAACTAAATATTTTTTAGGTGTTTTTTCCCCCCATTCTGAAAAAAATAAATAATGCACTTTTGTTTCCAGTATCTGATGCAAACTCTGTTGCTTTGGTATAAATCTGCCTAAGTGCAAAATCTTAGACCTGCAATGATGTTTATTGGAATCACAGTTTCTACCTATTGATCAAATGATAAGAGACAATTCAGATTACATTCAGATGGGTTTATGCTTCACCCAAAACCGCAGAACGGATGCTAGCTGATCCTGTTTTTTTTTCTTTGTTTGGTTGTTTTTTACCATTTGAGCCAAAGGGAAACTAAAATGGTGATGCTAAAACACACAAACCAACACGTCGGCTTGTTTACTGCCATCCGTTAAAGGTCCAGGACATTATTATAAGGATAAATCCTTGTTCTCTTGTTTGTAATCAAGAATGACATATTGTGGACATTACAGCTATAATCTGGAGTCTCCCTAATCCTTCCATGAATCAAAGCCACTCACAGACTCAGTCAGTACAATAACCACTCTATATTCCTCTATTACCCCTCTTCAACTGGAAATTATTTTAATGTAATAAGAACACACACATTGAAAGATGTGTACTGCAGCTTCAAACACGGCTGCAATAACGAACAGATCAACAACCGGTAATGAAAGAAGATCGTATGTGCCTAATAGAGCCCAAATAAAGATGTTAATAAACAAAGAAAATGGCACATTTAATTTAAATAACTTCAGGTGCTTATACTTTTGAATTAAAACAGCTTAATTAGAGACCTGGGTGACAACATGCTTGATAAAACGGTGCCTAACAGTGCATGTCTACACAAGCTCTACATAATGTATTGTGTAAATCTACACATGCTGCCTCCATCTGCAAGTAGTTATTACTTATCGGTACAGCCTGATGCAAATCTTACATTTCTTCTCCCATCTGCATCTTGATCTGCACTGTCAGCGATGCACACTCCAGGAACCACGTCATCCTGTGAATGCAGCTGTGATTGCTGGTGAAATTACTCGCAGCGTTTTCATTAGCGCAACTGTCAAATCGTTCCCCCCGCCTCAATCAACGGGAACCTTTTTCTGTGGTCGAACACATGATTAGAAGTTGGCAAGTAAAGTTTGGGCTGAGCAGCTGTTTTCTCGGGACTCATCACAACTCTGCAGTCTCTCAATGGAGGTAATAATTTCAAAAGACTTCAGAGCGTTACATCAAATAATTGAATCATTGTTGTAATTACTACACAAGCATAATGAGAGCTATTGTACGTGCAGACATTTTTAAACGAGTCACTTATGTCTGTTTGTGTCCTTGTCTCTGCAGAAATCAGCTCTGATTACAAATTAAATTATTCAATATTGCTGCGTGTGATTAATATTTTTATTATAAACTTCACTGACAATATGCCATTTGGAAGAAGACCTAATTACAAACTGACTTATACTGCATTCATCCAACCAAATCCTTCTGAACATTAATTTGGAGCTCAGAGGTTTGGAGGAATAATCAAAAAAGAAAAACCCAGCTCTTATTTTTGAGTCTGTCGTTCATTTCTACCTTTTAGTTTTACATTTAAAACAACTACCTCAGTCATTAGAGCAGGAACTGTTCCGTTTATGCTTATGTTGGAAATAAGATCCAGATTGTGGACTCAAGGGTACATGAATATAACATGAACCTCTTCGCCTTTACAGAGATGTGTATACCCTAACATCCAGTGGTGGCCACACGTCCGCTAGTCCAAAGCTAATTTTTTTGTTTAGCTTTAAAAACTTTTAGCTCAATTAGTTTCCCCAAAATTAATATTTCCTGATATATTCTAAAGTAATTTACTTGGTTGCTTTGTAAACTTTCAGATGAATAAAGCTCAACACCTGTGTTAATACACAGGTTATTGACTTAAGAATTCAAGTAGTTAAGTCGTTTATATCCATGCTCTTATTTTGAAAGGGTTGAAGACTGTTCAAGCAGCAGCTCTTGCTTCCTGTCCTCACAAAGCATAAAACACAGACAATAGAGGGCGAGATATAAACATAAATACAATATCTAAAGAATAAAACATGTAAATTATAATGTAAAAATTTAATTGGTGAGCAATGATTGTAATCTTTAAGAGGCAGATATCATTTGAATTGAGTACCGTGTTGTAGTGCTTTACATAGAACTAACTTTCTAGTTAGTGACTGCCACTGCTAACATCCCACATAAAGACTGCATAACTGACAGCAGGAGAAATGAAACTGGCAGATTTGAATGCTGCGCAACACAGTTTGCGACTCATTGGAGGTTATCCTACATAGGTGCAGACAATAACTACTTATTAATAAAATAAGTTTTATTAACAGGTAACTGAATATTAAAACTGTTGACAGCATGAAGGATATCAATATTGCAGTTATGTTGTAAGGTTACAGACACCTTCAAGGCTTGATGAGGGAGAGACTGATGCACTGTGCTACTCTGAGCTCAGGCTTTATTATTCAGTTTTCAGTTCTGGAAAGTAAGTATATAAAAAAAAAAATAATAATAATAAAATCAATGAAAAATCAAAGTTGTATTTCATTAAATACATGACCACACTTTTGGCCTATGAATACAATAACCAAAAGTATGTACTGTGGTATCCAAAGTCGGTCCTGGAGGGCCGGCATCCTGCACGTTCTAGTTCTCCCCCGGTTAAACATACCTGGATTCAATGATGGCTCATTGGAAGGCATAAGAAAAACATTGACATGCTGAAAAGGTTGGTGCCACCAGGGAGGGAATTAAAACATTCGGGATGCCGGCCCTTGACGACGGACTTTGGGCACCACTGATTTAGATGGTTTGACTATAACAAATCATAAAAAGGTTAGGGACATGGAGACTTAAAAAAAAAAAAAAAAAAAAAAAAAAAGAACTAAATGGAGAAAGATGATCCGCAGAGGCAATCTCTGAATGGAAAAGTCAAAAGAAGATGGGGAATTATAACAATACTGAAAAAAGTTCAAGTGATAAAACAATCAACAGACCTTTTAAAATTGACTAATTTGACACACAGGCATAGCGCATCCGCTGCACTTGATTATGACCTAATTACTCAGCATTCTGAAGGTTCTTCCTGTTTAATCCTCAGACATTTCATTTATTGTGCTCCTAACTGATGAAGCAAGAGTGAACACCACTGAGAGATCCAAACAGCTGTCTGAGGCCTCGACAGAGAGAATTGTGGCAGCTTATGCGTCTGGTAAAGGATTTAAAAAGGTCTTATAAGGATTGGAAGTCAGTCAGTTTAGTTTATTTTAACAATAAGTAGCATTGTTACAATCAAAAGGCCGATTGAAAATAGCAACTTTGTTGGATTATTTATTGTTGTTCTCTTCTTGTTGAAATCTTTGTCAAAAATGGTTCCGTTAAAAAAACTAACCAGGACTTGGTGTTTGCTGTAGTGTAATGTTTGTTCTGATTGCTATAGGAGCAGATATTACTAAGTATGCCATGAAAAGGGCTGTCAGTTACACAACAACAATCTTAGCTCTCCACTGGAATGAGCCATGCACACCTGCTGGCACACAGCACTTATGCTCACAGTCAAGTTGTGCATCAAACGGCGATCTGTCAGTGAATGTACAGCAGAGGGCTTTTGGAGTGGTCAGCAACCTTAGTGCCTTTGATGTGGTTCTAAACTCTGTAGTCACAAACTATATTATCCGTCTTTGCTGATTTTACATCAGTCAGAAGTGCATGAGAAGTTTTGCAATAAATAACTGGAAATATTGTCTGCGAGTCTGAGCCATGTCAATGTCAAATGACTCAGCGTGCGTTTTAAAACCAGGACTGGATGTTCATATTTAGAGCTGTCCACTTATGTTTGATACAGCAAGAATCAATGTTGATGCCAGTGTGGCATTGAAATGGTTATTTACTTCTAAGTAAAGTGCTAAATTAGCTTAAATTACTTCAAGAACCTTAGCTTTCTAAAGAAGTACAGCCTGCTCTGTTCCTTCTTGTTAACAGCTTTACTGTTACAAATTCAGTCCAGTCCAGTCTGCTGTTAAGACGAACAATGGAGGCATTTATTTTTTATTGGAAAATGTAAAGATAAAAGTCTCAAATTTGGATGTGCAGATACAAATCTAGTACCATTAGATCCTCCTATTAGCTTTTCTAATTTTGTATACCGGTTTAACAAGGGGTGAAGGATAAAATTGATTTCTGTAAGCTTAATGAAGCAGATAAGGTTGACTGGATCAATTTAAAAAACACACAAGCTCAACATCAGGATACTTTATGATAATGTTAGTAGGAAAATGCTGAGTAAAATACAAGTAGCTGCTGCAAACAGGGTTTCTACACATTTTCATGTAAACATTTCAGAGCTTTCTCAGTAATTAACCTCACATTAAAGTATAAAAATACAAAATCATCTATTGTCTATACTTGCTTATTCTTGGAGGGTCGATGCCCTTTTTTCACTTCCGATACAAACATCTGAGGTTTAGTGTTGCTGATACCAGTCCGATAGAGAAAAACAGTGCTGATTTAACTTAAAACAATTCTTATTTCAAACACAGACATAAATGTATTGAATTATAAATATATTTTACAACTCTGCACCAGTATACTGCGCTTAAATACACCACCAGATTCACAAGCTTGGTCCAACATGTAAACAGAACACAACTTTAAGTGGTTCAGTCAGTGCAATTAGAAATACAAGAGCTAATGTAAAATGAATAATAACGAAACAAACTGACAAAAACAAAAAGGTTGAACACCTTGGTCAATCATTTAAAAATAAACTACAACAAACTTTTGTTCAGATGCTTCAGAAAGTGCAACTAGGAATTCCTGAATGAATGAATAAACAGATACAATCCTAAGAGAATAGGATATGAAAAAAGGGTGGAAATGCACATATGTTTCCATACTGTTTTTTCCTTCTTATCCAGATTTGGAAATGACCTTAATTTAAATTTTTCTGACATTTTCAATTCTGCTGAAAATTCTAGCAAAAGGTTTGAGTGAGAATAATAAGGAGGACAGAAATGAAAACAATGGTATGGTGGAGACAGTGCTGTAAATAAGTCTTTTCAACAAATTGGAACTGAGTGCAGACCCTGAGTCAGATTTACAAACAGTGCAATCTCCTCAATAAATCTGTGGTAAACTGAGATCTAAGCTAATTTGTGATGACATATCTAATAGTTGGTGCCTCTATTTTGTATGTCCAAGTTTTTTTTTGCATATTTAGCTGTACACTCTTTTGGAGTAACTCACCGTAGCTTCATTGCAAACTCCACACTTCACCACGTGCTGGTGGATCTTCCCCTCCACAGAGATGAGGCTCTGACACACCCTGCAGCTGATAACAGGGGCATTTCCGCTCTCCGGGGAGGCGAGTGGGGAGTAGGGTGGAGGGTCCTCCCCTAGAAGTACCGAGGGCTGACTGGCACTGGGGAAAGGGGGAAAACCTGAACAAGGAGGATAGAATACAAAATATAAGAGTAGTAATGCATGTGTGACAAATGCATGATTGTTGGAAGTCACAAGAGAAATGCAGTAGGACTGGGAAAAAAAAGACTCTCATGACAAGTAACCCATTACAGCAAACAAGATAATGAGATTAGGCCTGGAGTTCAGCAGAAAGGAGCTTTAGTAGAAAAACACTCTTGGAATGCGGAGCAGAGCCGGTTTCAACACATGAGAGTCTGGGTATTAGCAAAAGCTAAACCACAGTGTGTGGAACAGCTTAACCTAGAAATCACATAAAAGCATGCAAAACTATCTGCTCTATTTTTTTTTTTATTCGGAGAAAGCTGAGAGACTAGTGAAAAGTGAAATCTAATCTCTCTTTGAATATTTAAATGCTTTTCCTGGGAGTTATGATTGGTCGCAGCATCCCTCCGCAGCATCCGTAGTCACTTCCTCCTGTCAATCAAATCAGGTGTTTCTAGGATGTTAGCCAACCACTAGCATTTCTTCTATTTAGACAGCCATTGACTACATTTGACTAAAATAAACTGTTCAAAATAACAGTATGCCCCCAAAAATATTCATTTTAATAGTGTCATTAAAACTGGTTCACGATAAAGCTTAGCAAACAGTTAATTATGCTAAAGAGTTAGCATAATTTAGGCTAATAATACAACGGTTACCTGGTTCATATAAATTCTATAAAACGACACAATTTATCAGAGGGAGTGTGTTCATTAGATGCTATTATGTACAATATTCTTATCAAGCAACATAAACCCTCCACAATTAGTCCCTGTCATAGTGAAGCTAGCAGGCTAACCGTAATGCCCAGTCAGTTCTAGAGGCTATGGTAAGCTAGGCTAACATAGGCTGGAGTCAGGACAGAGGATGCATCACCCTGCACACTCACCCTCTGGTTTGTTGGGCACACTGTAGGACCCAGCGCCGGGAGAAACCCCGCCGTTACCGCTGCCAAGAGCACCATCCCCCAAATCTGAGAGCAACGGGGACCTCTCGCCGTCCGCCATACCGAGAGCGAGGCGCAGGTAAGGAGGGAGAGAGAGAGAGAGAGAGCGGGAGAGACGATGCAGACCGATTCGGTGTGGTATTGTTGTCTCGGAAATGAAGGCGTCACATGATCACACCCACCCACCAACACCAACCCAGAGCACCCGGTACCGGTGCTGCTGCGGTAACGATGCCCGAGGGTGTGGCACTGCTCTCACCGGGCATGATTCAGAGAGATGTTCCCTGATAATAACATTAGGTCAGGCGCATTATGCTTCTGTTATTTACTTATCGTGACTTCCCTGATTATTGTTGTTATAGGTCAGCTAAGAAATATATGAGACACAAATATTTTTTTCCATTTATAGAGGTGAAGGGGGCATTCCCCAAAGTTAGGGTGATCCCTAGAAATATGACTTTAAGCGACTGTGGTGGACTGTCCTGGGTGTAGCCACCTCTCACCCAATGACTGCTGGAGATAAGCGCCAGCCCCTCCACGATCCTGCAAGAAGTGTATATAGTGAATGAATGGATGAACTGAAGAGAGTAGAAAACATGACTCAGTAAAAAGCAACATTTCTTTATTTAATCGGGCCCCAGTGTTTTGAGTTTTTTTCTTTTCTTTTCTCTTTCATAAGCCCAATTAGGCTCATTAGGCCTATTAATTTTACGGACACCCAAAATCATATGAGTTGTATTAATTTAGGATTTTTGTGAATATAAACAATATTAAAGTATTTGAAAATCATGAGGTTATAGTCGATTTCTTTGAGGACAACATGGAGACATTAGCAACAGGACGCATTAAACCTACCATGCATCAGTTAATACCTGCTGATGCATTAGGTTACCTATTACTATACTGTAACTTGCTTTAGTAAAATAATTTTTCCCTAACACAGCTATAATTGTTAAAAAAAATTTGATTGGTACAAGTGAATGAAGTTTGTCAAACTTAACTTAACTTTACTTAACTTGACAACTTAAACTAACTTGGATAAACTTAATTTGATTACTTGTAACCAATTATTGTAACAGGATATGTCTTACAACACAGATGCTCTCCATCCAAACTTACTGAGCTATTACTGAAACAAGAATGGACAAAAAGTTCAGTCCAAATGTGCAGACCTTGAAGAGACTTTTGACTTGTAGCTCAGTCAAAGGTAGTCCTAAAGAGTACTGACTCAGTCGGAGTGGCTGTATTTCATTTGTAAAAACATTTAAAAACCATGCATCTTGGCCTTTTCCATAAAAAAACAAAATAAAATACACTAACATTTTTGTTTGTAATCTGACAAAAAAAAAAGTGAAAACGTTGCAGAGTACATTTAGAGCATGGTGTGTTTGTTGCAAAGATGGGTCAGAAACTAGAAAGTTGGGAAACTCAGGTCTTGACAAATACTGCTTTTCTTTTGATGTTGCTTTCTTGTTCCTATATTTCCATACTTTAATGTTTCGCTTCAAGTCAATCAAGTCTAACTTCTAAATCACTATAAAAAGGGCACTGTGTTATCTAAATAACCAATACTCAATTTAAAAAGTTATTTTACTTTTTCTCTACAGACATGATAGAAAGGAAATTAAAACAAGAGCAGAACTACTGAAGCACAGAAAACATTTATTATAACTTTTTCTTATGAAGTCAGAGATTGCATATGGAAAAGAGCCCAGATTTAATTAAAAATTTACAGAAATAAATCGGATTTACTTCCGTCATTGTTTTCAGGCATCAAACAAGCCAGTGTGTGCAATCCTAACTTTCCCCCCAAGAAAGTGGTGGGAATTATTTCAGCTTTACCTTAAAGCTGAAATAATTTCTTTATCCTTCTTTTACTGCATGTTGATACAGTCCATGGGTCACTTCATCAGTAGAGTCACCTCCAGTTCCTGCCTGTCGCTAAAGAACTGAGCCTTGCCCTCTTGATTCTGGATGGGATGGGGCAGATGGAGACCCAGTTTACTAAAAAGAAAAAAGAAAGGAGCGACAAGTGAAAGCAATGATGTGAGAAGGAGAGAGATGTTAAGTGGTTGAGGAGGATGTTAAGAGCTGCACTTGAAGCTCAGGTCAAGATCTGGAACACTGATTAAAGTAAAATGTCTGAAGATCCGAGATGTGAGCATGAGCAGCAGCTTCTCCTTATGAGATCAAAAATAAAAGACAAGATTTTCAAAACCGCTCTTACTACTTTGGAGTCCGCAGATCCAGGTACTTCTCCTTTAAATCCAAGAAGACATCTTTTGCCTTTGTGTCGGGTAGTTTTATTTTAACCTAAGGGTACGAAAAAATATTAATATTGCTCTAATATCCTAAATAGTCCCAGTTTATACCAATAATCATTTCAAAAGTATAAACAAATCTTTTGAGCAAATATCTACAATCATGTTAGCTATATTTTCTATGAATGTTTGGCATAACTCTGTAAGTGAAGACATAAGGAAGGAAAGAAAAGTAAGAAATGAAACAAAGAAGGAAGGACTGGAGGGAGGATGCATAGACAATGGTATTGGAAATTAAGTCTAGAAATACACATATTTTTCCATACTCTTAATTTCTGAGGCCATATATCTAGACCTGGAAAACACTTAAATCATGTTCCATACCTTCTGAAACTGTATAAGATTTCTGTTCCTATATTAGACATGCACTTTATAATGGATTTCAGTTTTTTCCCAATAAAGGACAGCTCGGATGCAGAGAAAGTTTTATTTTGACTTTCTCTATTCTTTAGTTGTGTTGATAGAGGAGAAAAAGAAAAGTGAGGAAAGTGTGGGTTAATTTCAATCTGTATTGTCATCGCACTATTGAACAATAAAATCACAATGTCAGGTCTTCCAAATAAAATGCAGCTCCCGATGCCTTTAACATTTTAAACTTACTTTTAAACTGCATTTGGTTTTGTGTTTATCTTTGTCTTTATTCAAATGCTTGCAGATGTTTTCCAATGTGAAAAAAGTTGATTAACTTCAGTGAACAACTTGCTTGATACTTAATAAATTACCAGCATGGCTTCACAGCACATTGAAGATGGATCCTTCTGGCTTAAGCCCAGGAACAAATCCTCTGTTCCAACACTCTGCTTCAGGATAATTTCATACCTGTATCAAGTCATATCGGAATACACATGAAAATTGCACATTATCATAGTATGAGGAAAATGACATCACTTATTTAATTTTCTGGTAAAGATTATTAAACTTTAAAATGAAAGCAACTTTTATCGATGTAAAATAATTTCGTGCTGAAAATTACAGGGAATCCAACTTTTAAATTTAGAATATTTTTCTGCGAAATGCATTAAGGGCAAACTGTTAAAATCAGCATATGTGTAACTGTTGAGGCATTTGTACAATCTCTTTTTGAATACTGTCTATCCTTGAAAACAATTTTTTGAATCAATTTTGTTGTACAGTTTGGATTCTTATCCTACAAAGAGACACAGGACAAACAACTAGACACACTTGCAGTCATACCAATGGGCAATTTTAGAGTAACCAATTAATCTAACAGTCATCTTTTTAGACTGTGGGTGAAAACAAACACATGCACAGGGAGAAGAACCCAGGCCAAGATTAAAACCTAGGATTTTCTTGCTGCAATCCACCGTGAAGCCTTTGTGTTGTATTCTAACTAGAATGAAGGCAGCACCACTACAGGTTTTTCCTCCTCAGTCTTACTCAGGTTGTGGTCTCGGGTCAGCCAGATCATCATACTGAGAGCCCTCAGCCACCTCCTCCTCACTCCAGATATCCTTACTGATTTTCTTTGTGTAGGCAGTAGACACTAAATCAGCAGAAAGCCAGTTTGAGCTTTTAACATGTTCTTGTTCAAAATAAATTTAACCAAGATAAACAAGTGCACATACCTTCTTTTTCTTTTTTAGGAGGGGGACCAATATGGCCAGGACCAAGCTGTCCATAGGCTGTTTCATTTTGCTGAAATAAGCCCAATTTAATTATTCAACTCTACTACACCCAGACATTACCTTTATGGAATAATTACATAAAAAAACTACCTATTTTAAATAAACGTCCTCATACTGTTTATTTGTGTTTGTGAATAATCTTACTTTACATTCTTCATCCTCATCTTCCTCCTGCTGAGTTGATAACAGCGCAGACAAAGCCTGTAAGTTTTGGTAAGACGATACTCCGAGACATTCCATAACAATAAGAGAATAAGAAAAAACTGACTTAAAACTGCAACTACTGCATATAATACGCTTGTACTTCGGTTTTAAGCTAACTACCGTTGCTTAAAAATTAACGATAAAATTACTTATAACCTTATGAAGCTAAAAAAAAAAAAAAAAACAACAAAACAGCTGATTAGCATGCTAACTAGAATTCGAACCGTTGGTGTTGTTGTTTTCTGTCTCCATGGAGACCGGCTGCCATGGTAACTAGAGACATTGACCTGAAAGTAAAAAAAAAAGTCCAATTTAGAAAATATGTATAAAATCTTAAATTTTAAGGATATGTACCTTAAATAGTTTAATTTAATCACCGTTCTAAAACATAAATAGTTACATATTAGTAACTAACCATACATAATAAAGCAGTGGACATGTATAGTTTTTTTTTAAATCTCATATTTTAATGGTACCACATGAACCAGCTTGATGTCACATTTAATATCAAAAGAACACTACTTCTTTTTTTAATGTTATTTTATTTAGTGTTTTACACCCATATACATGTAATTTTCTACTATTGATCTTTTTTTTTTTAAATATATGTAGCTTTGATATATATTATATATACATTGATAGTAACAGGTAACATTTTTCCTGTTTTTATTCAAATATTTAGATGCTTTGTTAATTTGGTCATATTCACGCAATTAGCAGTGTCCCTTTCAATACAATTTGAATTAATCCATACATTTAATTAAATGAACTAATTGTGGGAGAGGGAGAATGTCTGAGCATATAGAATATATAAATATGTTTATAACAGCATTGTCACTTTTTTGGCGGGTTTTTCTGTTTAGAAAAAAATCATAGATGCGGCGCCAGTCAGTCTTGTCCCTCGGCGGATTCCGTAGGCAGTGCATATGGCCCTCAGGGTTCATGTTGAAGGTGACGGGTAGAGTCATGCCGGGAGCCTCGAGTTTCCTGCCTTTCACCGTTTCCGCGGCTAATGATGCCGGTAACGGAGAAAAAGAAGAGACATCCTCGGTAAACCTGGACGAGCTGTCGCTCTACACAGCCCCTCCTCCACCTCTCTGGTATGAGGAGTCTGAAGCGGGTCAACTGGAGGAGAAAGTCGCCACCGTCAGGAAGTTAGCTGAGCCGTACGCTATTTGGTGCCAGTCAGCGTACTCTAAAATTAAACCCAAAGTTCAGAAGGTCGTCCAGTTGGGAAATGACACGTACGTCAATCTACAGTACCCTCCTAAAGACTTCTATCCCCGGGCAGGAGTCATCGGTTTAGCCGGAGTCGTCGGACTCTTTCTGGCCAGAGGATCCAGGATTAAGAAAGTCCTCTACCCAACGGGCCTTATGACCCTGGGCGCCTCCCTTTACTACCCGGAGCAAGCGGCGGCCATCGCCAAGTCTGCCGGAGATTCCGTGTACGACACCGCGGTCCAGAGCTACGCTGCTGTGGAGAAGATCCTGAAGTCTCAAGTCAAAGATAAAAAGAGTAACGAAAAGTAAAGACTGGGGATCAAACAGCGCCTTCATTCCCTGATCTTCCTGGATGGAGTTTTGAAATGTGACTCTAATGCTCTTTGCACTAAGCTTGAATTGTAACTCAGGATTTCCAGCTTTAAAAATGTACCTCTGCCTCTGATGTAAATGTATATTTATGTAGAAAATAAGACCTGCTTGGCTTACATTAAAATTCAGGGTTTGACACATCTCTTGGTATGAAGAATAATTTTACAAAAAACCCTTCTTTAGTCCAATTAAATATAAATACATGAACACAATGAGAATATTCTCTCCATTGTTTTCAGACAGTAAAGTTAAACTATCACATCAGAAGAATTAACCAGTGGTAAACTGATTCTGGTAGATTTTTTTTTAACTTGGCCATTAGTTTGCAGATACAGCTACTCATTCAGTTCTTTGGAATGCATAAACAATCTATGGGAAAATATTAACTGTTCACATTTAGCCTCTAAGACTCAAGATACATTATAGAAGTAAGGTGTTTAAAGACTTGATATTTAATACTTTATACTGTGATTGTTTATTCTAGTCCAATTCGATTTAAAAAAATACTTTGCTTATCCCAAAAGTAAATTACATGCAACTCATTTCATCCAAGTATCTTCAACATGTCTGGAAAGACCTCCAGTAGCAGTCAGTATTGCAACAAATCTGAACAGGCCACTGACTAAAGACTGTTTCTGTATGATAGTCTAATAGCTGTCATAAATATTAACGGGAAGGTGACAAAATTCTCAATGGAAAAAATGAACAAAAGTCCTCTCAAAGAACAAATCAGAAGTAATGTAATAGAGCTACTCTACTACTAGTGTTATTCTGGAAACTGCATTTAAAAATGACTAAAATTAATTGAATTTAATACAAGGGTCCACAAGTGTCAGAACTGTATAGTTTCCTATACTCAATTTTCCAAAGTTCCTATTCGTCTTCAACCAATTTTACATATAATACAAAAGTTTACTTTGAGTTTAGTGTAAATAAAACAAATACTTACATACTCCATTTTATCTATGGTTATCAAAATCTGAAACATGCTGCTCTTCAAGACACATGCCATCTGCATAAATCTGTCATTTTTAAAATTATTAAATAAAAGTAAATCTGAAAAAGTTGGATCAGTTTTGATGACAAAAGTAGTTGCATCAAGCTAATTTTGAATCCAAGAACAATTTTTGAGTGACTGTAAATGACAAAAAGCATTATTACATTAGGAATACAATAGTTCGTGCAATGCATTACTTACAGAAGAAGCATCTTTGAAGAAATCAAATCTGCTATATGACTGTTGAATGTTTTTATTCATCTTAGCCAAAACAAAAGAAAGAATTCAAAAAATTAAATATGACTTGAAATAATCTCCTCAGAGAAGCACCAGCTTCTCGTTCAGAGCAATCTGTGCTTGAGTCAGGTTAGACAGGTAGGTCACCATCAACAGGTCCTGCAAACAAATTATTTACAGCTTTGTATCACAACCATGAAGGATTTTACCTCATTATGATGTCATACGTCCAATGTAAACAATCAATTTTAATATTTTTAGACGAGCGCTTACGTTGATGTTGGAGTTGAGCATGTTCTCAAAGTCCTCGGCTGTGATGGTCGGCACTTTGTTGACCAGATCCATGAGGAAGCGACCCACGCTGTTATCAGCCGTCACCTTTCCAGACTGGGACACACACACACACACACACACACACACACACACACACACATTATGATCAGGGTTTAAATCTATCCTAGAGACCGGATCAGAACCAGGCTTTCCTGCTCACCAACACATCTTCGATGTACGCCAGCACAGTGGTCAGCATGTCCTGTATCCTGGACGCAGCGCTCCCCACCTGTGACAGGTCAGAGGTCAGCCCCTTGGTGCGGCTGGGAGTCACACGAGTTCTCTGCAGAAGATCCACTGCAACATGGAGATAGAGTCAAAATGTTTACACACAGGAGTGTTGAAATTCATTTGAATTTGCTCATTTCTTGATTTTAAAGGAGCAGTGTTAAATGTTTTCCAGG